ACTGCAGGATGTCCAGGCTGGCTGAACGTGACGCCCGTGGTGGCACAGGCGGCCAAGGGCTCCTGTGCGTGCTGAGGCCTTGGGCTTGACCCTGAGCTCAGCGAGGAGCTGCTGAAGGGCTGCACGTCAGGTCAGGTGTGCCGTTTGGAAATAATCCCAGGAAACATTCCCAAGGACTGGCAGGAGCTCGGGGAGGCGTTGGCTTCAGATGTCGGCCTCTGACAGGGCATCCTGGGACCCACCTGGGCGGCTCCCTCGTCCCCCTGGTCCCAGTGATGCACGCCGCTGGTCATACGAGAAACCAGAGGGCAAGTCTATGCCGTTTGACTCTTAGCCTCACAAGAAAATAGGGGCCTCTGGAGAGTTGAGTTAGGAGACAAGCTCTAGAAGCAGGACCAGCTGGGGTCCCCAGAACGGAGCAGCACCCACGACGCCCCTCCGGGAGTTCAGGGTTTACTTCTTAAGGTTCACATAAGAAACACCTGAGAAGGCCTCTGTGTGCTCTTGGGATTAGAAGGGGATATTTTTATTGGTTTCTCTCGGAACCATCAGCATCTGAAATCCTGAGTTTGTTGTTTATTTTAGAATCCCATCCAGGTCAGGTGACATACCGGCCAAAACTGCTGGTCCAATTTGCTAGGAATGTAGAGCGTGGGCTCCGGTGCTCAGGGCCTGTTCCCTCAGCAGCCCGGTGCCTGCCTGTGCCCCAGGCCGAGCTGTCTCTTCCAGGGCACAGACCAGCAGCAGGTTGACAAGACAACCTCAGCATGAGGCACCTTGCAGGCTCCCCACCAGGGCCTGCATGCTTTGGGACACCAGGGGAAACTGAGGCAGGCCTATCCCTGGGAGACAGGACTCAGCTTTAGCTCAAAGACTCCACATAGCTCTGCCCTTCCCCGGACAGCAGGGCTCCCTCCCACCTTTTCCCGCAGTGACTTGTATGGCAGTCTGAGGGCCCCCACACCTTTGAGCTCCCTCTACCCGCTTTTACACCAGCATTTCCCCAAATGAGATCCTATGCAGTAAACCCCCCTTAGCATCTGCCTCATGAGTGATGGGGACCGACAAGCCTTAAGGGCACAAAGGAGCTGACAAGGGAAGGGACTGCCCACCCAAGTGAGGGCCCAAAGGTGACGTGTGTCATGAAAGACGTGGAGGCTTAACGTCGCTGCTGGGATAAAGGAAGCGGGTAGGAACCTGGAGAGCGCGGCCCGCCTGGCTCGGGAGCAAGGGCCTGGCATCATCGGCTCACTTAGATGCATGCTCGGGGGAAGTGCTAGTTCAACACTTGCCTGTCGTCATTCACACGTGTCGGCTAAAAATGAGTGATNCCGCTGTTCCCTCGCAGTCACTTCCAGCCCACGGACCCCTCCCTGCTCCTCAGCTGTGAACTCCCACTGGCCCCTGTTGTGCTTGGGACTGAGCTCGGGTCTATACTGAGGTCTCTCGTGCCCTACTGCAATAGTTCTTGTGCACGGAAAAGGGTTTCCAGGGAAAGGAACCTCACAGGGGGATTCTAGCATAACTTCCTAACCGGGCAGCTCACGGTGGGGCGTCACGCCCCAGGCACACGACTTCAGTGAAAGGTTTATCTCGGCCCGAAGGAGCCCTGTGCGTCTTCTTGTGCATCGAGGGTAACACACCTCTGAAATAAGCGAGCACGTGATCTGAACTTCCCCGTGATCCAACCGCCGCCTTGCTTTCTCCCACCTCCATGTCCTCTTCTTTAGTTCCCGCCTTCATTTCAAATTCATAAAAGAAACTGCAAACTGTCACTGTCCGGAGCCTTTGAGATCTTGCAACTGTCATCAGTTTGGCTCAAATAAACGCTTATAAGAATTTTCTACAGGTTTTGGACGTTTTCTTACGAACACGTGCTGAATGAACTGTTTTGCGGAGTTAAACTGCCCAGCACCGGGTCTCTCTGACAGCTCCCTGTGCTAAATCTTTTGAGGGTCCTGAACGCAAGGAGAAGTGGCTGGATAACCCCTTTCTGGAGCTCCCCCAACCACAGAGGTGCACGGTGCCCCTCAGGAGGGCTGGAGGACCCCCTTCTGGAGAAGCCGGAAGTCCCTTCACTGAGGGCCTGGGGCCGAGGCCCACGGGGAGGGGCCGCTGTCCCTTTCCCC